AGGAGAATCACCGGGGGGGTGGGGGTGGAAGGAGAACAGCCTATTGCAGAATTTTCGTCCTCTAAGGGATGAGAAGGCCGGTCACGGTAGCTGAGCGGTCTTAGGCATGCACTCTCTTCGCTCGCTCGAAGCCGGGATCGTGGGTTCGAATCCCACATAAGGCATGGATGTTTGCTATGTATATGTGTTTATTTCGTGTTTGTTTGTTCTGTGTACAGGCAGAGGCCTTGCGACGAGCTGATCACCCGCCCAAGGAGTCCTACCGTATGTCTTAAGATCTAGTAAAACCGAAGTGAAACGGAGAGTTTCATGGAGGTATGCCTAGGCCCAAATGAGGGCTGTAGCGCCAATAAAAAAAAAGGGATGAGAAGAAACTGGGGTTGTAACTGACCTAGCAGGTCATCTGCAAGTTCACAAATTTTTCACTGAAATATCCGCAGGTCATCATTCTATGGCTAAGACAAAAGGTAAATTTAAGCACCACACCATGAAGACGTATGGGGAGTAGAATACCAGTGTTTACCACGGCACTAGATGGAGGTAATTAGCCAGATTCACTCCTCGGTCGCTTTACCCTCGATTCTCATTGGATAGGAAACTGAGTGGGTTCTATTTCCGGTCTGGACGCTGTGGACTACAAAGAATAATCACGTACCCGTGCCGAGAATCGAAGCCTGGCCATCCAGCCTGTCGTCATTCCGACTTAGCAATGCAGGTACCTCGTTATTTGGACACTACCCGGAATTGGAACCAAAGGGCGGTATCAAGAAACTAAGGCGTTTTGTTAAATATAGAATTATTCTGGTGACGAAGTGTTTCAGTATAGCAGCGCTCTGTAACACGTTTAATGTTTCACATCAGATCTCAGAAGCAAGGCCTGCGTACTGTCCGTGCTCTTTGACTTGACCTCTGAAGTGCGCAAAATCAAAATTGAGAAATATGTCAATTAGTAAGGGCAAAAAAATTTCACCTCAAGTGGGGGAGGAAGAGAGAGAGAGAGAGAGTCCTGCATCATAACTAAGGTCCTAACTGGCCCATACCCACCCTGCAATCATTAACACAATTATTGGACTCGACTTCGTCTACTGCGCATTTTGTTGAGAACGGCCAAGTGAAGAAAGGCTGACTGTATGTAAGTAAAGCACGAGTAGGAATATCAAGCTGTAGGGATCACTGCGAACTTGTAACACCAGTTTACATCTGTATGATGCAATTTCGCACGTGTTTATGTAATAACTGGACGTTGTATTGCAGACAGAGCAGCTCACCCTACATTCTAAATGTAATTAAACTGAGGAAATCAGCTTTCCTAATATAAGGAAACCTACGTAATTATACATCCACCCTGCTCGTCTACCAGTGCCATCTCTTTATGCGATGCAAAAGATTAGATACACGGAAACAAAGGGATTTACTATGTTTGGTTTAATGACGCGTTTATGTAAGTCAGCGATTCCCAGCAGACACTCAGAAATTTATTTTTACTGATCAGAGATATTTTTACATATTGATTCTTAACAGAGTAGCCGTAATATTGCTTAGCAATAAATTCAGTAGAGTCTTCAAAAATTTTTGTTAGATTTTATTTGCAGTAGAATCCTGAATATTTTTATGTCTGCAAAAAACAACAGTAGGTAAATCCTGAAGAATATGTTTGCAAAAATATAACCGATTTTTATTTCTACTCGACACTGCTCGACACTACAAGTTCATGTTTGAATATTTCTTGTATTCGCATAATTGTTTTGGTAAAATGGGCAGCTGCCCAAAACCTCCTCATTTTAGGAGCCCCCTCACCTCTCTTCACGGTTTGAGCGTATGGAATGTTAAGTAATGTGCCTTGAAAAATAACTTTACATCATAGTAATTTTTAGATTCTGTTTTTAACATTTTCTTTTCACTTTTCTTAACATAAAGGGCACACGGTCGCATGGTTGGTTGAGGCACTATGCTACAAACCGGAAGATCGCGGGTTCTATTCCCCTACGAGGTAATTGGAATTTTCAGTTAACTAAATCCTTCAAGGCACTATAGCCTTGGGTCGAGTAAGCCTTTAACATAAATGAGTACCACCCTGAGGTAGAAAGAGGCCGGCCGGCGCGTTAGGCTTACCACCTCACCGCCATCTGTGAGCCGATTGTCTAGAAAATGTGGGAGTTTCCACGTCTCACAACCCTATGGGTCTCCACGGCCTGTTACAGGGATAGTTTACCTTTTTCCGTTAATATACAATACTTCTGTATTGGTATCAAATTATAGGATATTTTGCATGAAAGTTAGAAGAGGGTCTTTTGAAGTCAACGGTAAACTGAAAATATTAATAAAGGAATCATATTTATTACAGGTTTGGTCACACTCTGTTGGGCTCTATGCCAGCAGGAACAATTTACTAAATAATTGACTAAAGTTTCTAAATAATAACTAGACATCATATGTAGCATACACACAGAAACATTTTGTCTTTGGTATGGAGTAGTAGGAAGCTGGTTTATAGCTTGGCTAATTCTTCGACCCTGAAGGTGGAGGAGAAATATTTCTCAGAAATTTCAGCCAACTTTCAACGGACTACTTGGCGTTGTATACCAGAAGATTTCTTCGTAACCACCGCTACGAATACTTCAAATCTTCATTAACTTATTATTTTTTAAGGATAAAATGTTTCATATCTATGTTTGTTCCCTTACCAAGATCGGTAAAGTCGTCTACCTTTCCCATGTTTCGGAATTTATCGCAATTTACGGAAAAATATTATCACATGTATGGGTGCGTGTGTAAATATAGACGGGGTTTGGATTGGTGAATATATTTACTGACCACTCATACACACGACTCGGAACTACAAGCAGTTACAACGCCATTGCTAATCTCTACAATTCACAAATCACCACAGCACACGCTAAGTTTTTTTTCGAGCTAGTTGCGTCTTCACCAGCCGTTCTCAGGCAACGGCTTCTAGTGGTGGAGGTTCTTCAGTTTCACTCGCACAGGCTATATCATGATAACCTCCCATGTAGAACTCCCTAGTCGTTGCTTGGTAACGACACTTCGACAGTTGAGATTCTTCAGCTTCTGAGCTGACGCCGTTCCCCGCTGTCTAATGCACTAGGTCATCGACTTACGACCACAAAAAAATAAAAGACGATTAAAACGTAAAAGTTTTTTAAAATAAATTATAAAGACGATAAAAAGATTAGAAAGTTAAAAAATACTGTTAATAAATATATGACCGATATACGACCAGATCGACTTACGACCTGTCAGTCAGAACGGAAGTCGGTCGTAAGTCGATGACCAAGTGTACTCACAACTGAACTTTCCCAACTGACTCAACCCTTATATATAACATCTGAGCGCTGACCACACAGAAAACACCGTTCTTCTACTGTTGCCTGCGTGTATTTTGTGGGCCTTACTTAGCAAAAACAGCTGTTTAGAGAGTCGCCGCTTAGCAACGGGTCTATACGCCACAATATTTAGTAATTTTTTTAAGAACCCTGAACTCCGTGGCGTTATGGGTCTTTTTCAGTAATTTCCAGGGAAGCAACCCCTGTTCAATAAGTTGGATTTGATCACGGATTATCGCAGATGGGTTTCTAACGCATAAGTACATCGTAGTGAATTCAGCCGTATGTTGGGAAGCTTACAGAAGCTCGGGAATGGCAGCAGCTTGTAAAGTTTCACACAAGTTCGTCTGTTAGTACATAATGTTGGGTCATGCCGTCAGATGGGTCTGTAATCCGTTGATTCAAACCGTCCCGTGAGAGAGCGCTGATATCCCACGCTAGGGGTGACACGGTATAGCCCCGTATCGCTTTATAAGGTCACACTGCGATGTCAGCAATCCTGGTGTGATCCTGTCCGTCGTACAGGTTCTGCCTTCCCATGAAGAGAAGGCGAGGCAGTAATCTAGGCCGACCAGCATATGCTGTGCAAGGTGAATATATATCATCATGATTTTCTGGCCACTTTCCATTTTCCTTGCTGTACTGAAACTCAGTGCCTTCTTGAAAGGACATTAGTGTTGCCAGCACCCAGAAGTTTTACCCACGACCTGCCTCGCCTTATCATCGTTGTGAATAGTAGGAAGTTCCTATTCTTCACTTCATTCGTTGGTTAGATCAGCGGCCTCTTCTGACTTCCGAATAACCAGTCTTTTTCTTTGAAAGGTTTGATAGTTTTCGTGACTGTAAATTTATTTTTATTACTGGCTTGTGAGATGTGATGCTATGTAACCCGTAGATGTTTCGGTTGAGTATTTTGGTCCACGCTTCAGGATAGAGTATAACATTTTGTCCTCAAGATGCAACATATTCCTCCGAAACGTAAGTAACAGTCTACCCGACTACAGTCCACCAACGAAGAGAGGTTGAGGCAAGTTAAAGGTTGTCCTTAACAGTTTCTAAGTTCATTTAGGAACACTTCTTTGGCTGTGTCATAACCTCTGGAGGTTAGTAGGCCCGGGTGCTGTCCCAGGTCAGATCACGTGGGATCTTTGGTGGAAGAGGTGGCACTGGGACAGGTTTTCTGCGAGTACTTTTGTTTTATTTTGCCAATTCTCATTCCACACTCACCATCCTGGCCAAAGAGTGGCCGACGTACCAAGTGATCTCAGTCCCACCCCAACCCAAGGAATTAAATAATAAATAGCGACACGTTCGGCTTAGATGAACCAGCTACAGATGCAGGAGACGCCTGAAAGTCGTTGTTTGCTTGCCTGCTATATTCCTGCTGGGTCTCGCCAGCAGAGTGATTCGTATTTCCAAGTTCCACAGGACTCTCTGGTGGCTCTGGGAGCCTTCAGACGGCCAAAATCATAGCAATGCTACCTCACAAGTTCGTGCGTTCGTCATGTTAGTAATACCGACTGTAGGAAATTAAAGTTGCGGTATTCTCCAATGCCAAATTTAATGGAAATCCATTCTGCGGTTCTCCAGTTCAGACAAGCAGACAGTACCAACCCTAAAGAACACGGTATATAGCGTGTTCCTGTTGTGTTTCAGGGAAAGGCCGCTTGTACCCTGCCTACAGCCTTAGTGGCTCGGAGGGGGAGGCTGAGTCTCCCACACACCATTACCGATCTCTGAGACGCCAACATCCGCAACAACAGCAGCATCCGCTGGTTGCTACTAACAGTCCGTACCAGCAACATACGTACCAGCAGCCATATCAACACCAATACCAGCAACCTCAACAGCAGCAACTACAGCACCCTGCAGGACTTAGCGATACACCGACATCGGAGAATGCTTCGGACGCGACGTTAACGGACTCAGAATTGGCCCTCGCCAGAGACTCCACTCTTCTCGTCCATAACGGTAAGAATCTATACTTCTTTCATAATTTCTATGGAATGCATACGAGCACAATACGAGATAGCATTGTTCACTGTGCGCTGACTGTTAATGTCTGTTATGTCTTAAAGTGCTTCTGTTTTCTGTGGAAAGTAAACAACGTATATACAGCACGGCGATACTTCCCAGTCTCTAAGCAAAAAAAAAAAACTCCGTGGTTTTAGTCCGCAAGCGAATTATACCGACCGAGCGACCGCCGCTTGTCGGCGAAGTTAGTGCGAGTAGAGGGTATCGTGTGGTCAGCGCAACGAATCCCAACGGCCGTTAATTTCAGTCTCTAAGCCAAAAGATTATCGCCTATCATCAATACTCTGTTTGTATTCACCCCTAGGTACAATACAATGTCCCTTCTATACGTTTGTATTGCTCTGTTTCGTCGATGACTTTCCTGCCTTAAAGTTGGATATAAATTGTTTTTCTTTCTGGGACTTTAGTAGCACCCTGAGAAGGTACACGGCGTCTCATCTCAGGGGACCGTAATCTTAAAATGCTTTTAGTTCTCCACATATCAACTTCTTAGATAGGATCAGGATCGTTTCCGTCGTTCTTGACGGCCCCACTACAGGAAAAGCTGCTTATGATTATCTGTGAATTCATCTCCTGTCGGTTCTCCAGATCTTCGGCCATATCTACCCTTCCGCGAGAGGGACACTTTTTTTTTTTTTGCGATAATCGTGGTGTTTGAAAAGATGATATCAGGATTGTAGTCACCGGTGACAGGCCACTTAAGGTAGCCTTCATGATTGCTGTTAGCTTTCCCTTTCATCGGCTTTATCCCCCTTATAGAAGCACTGAAGAAATCTTAGACCAACTTGACCAGGAGTGCAGTGGTATGAGGGAGAGTCAGTATGTCATAAATGGGTATAAACGTAAAACATGTGATATTGAAACCTGGAAATAAACATTTATTTCTCGACATATCCTCCACCAGCATTGATACACTTGTACTATTGTTTTAACAGCGCGTCGAAACCCACAGTATAAAAGTTTTTTGACTGTTGTCTCAGCCACTTCCGTTCCTAGTTGGGCATCATCTGCGGCGCTCGAATGACATTGAGAATTTTTCTTTACCCAGTTTTGAACCGCTTTAAGCAACAAAGACTTCCCACCGTAATTGGGAAATATTTCTTTAGGAATATCCTTTGCGTTGATTACTTCTGCTCATAAATAGAAAATAATAACACGTGACGCTGCTCTTTGGTAGTATACTCCTCAAGCAAGGTAGCCATTTTGACTACTGAAATAGCATCTGAACATGCGTATGCGCGTCTGCTACTTAGATTGTCATGAAGCTGGATTGTGCTGCTACCTAGTGATACAAATAGAAAACTTATTGCTTTCATTACAGCTGTTTTAATTCCATTTATGATCTATTTACTGACTCGCCCTTCTACATGACTTCTTGCCACTGTGGTATTCTTTGTGCAGTGACGTAGATTATTACCTTGACGTCAGAAAATCAGTAGACACTTCGAGTTTTGGTCTTGTGTGTTAATTTTGGTGGCAGTGGGCGACCGACTTTTTGGATCAGGAATGGGTTTGGTTGGCCAATTACAAGGAAGAAGTGCATGAGGTCCAAGAGTAGGGGTATAGTAAGGAGCTTAGCCTGGCCCAATGGGAACAAATGGATAGAAATTGCCTTATAAGAGTCACTGAATTTTATCCTCAGAGATGAAAAATGGCAGTGAGAAAGAAGGGATATTTTCAGGGATCTGTTTTGAACATAAAACGGCAAACGAAATCTCCAAATAGGGGAACTCGTTGAATGCACAGGGACTTTTCTTCCGTAAGGTTGCCTGCTCAGATCTTAAGACAACATGGGCCTACACTCGCTGTCGATCGCGTGTGAAATCCTCTCATAATTCTTGACCTGAAGGGTCTTTCTACAACCAAGGATAGACAGTGGCATTCTATGGTTTCAGAGACGATTTACAAGTTTGGCAGGAAATACTGCTTCCATCTTCTGGTTAGAAGTTTTTTAAGTTTTCGAAACGCTTGAACCCAAATGATCACACAGCGTAGTCCCGTAAGATTACCGCGCCATTTCATGCGCCATTTTACGACACTGTTTGTGTCTAGCTTGGTAGAATAATTAATTAGAAATCTTTTGAACCGAAGCGATCATGGCTTAATAGAAGTACTACCCTACAATTTGCATGGAGGGACTGAGGTAACCCACAAAAAGCCCCAGTCAGGATGAACACATGTCCTGACTGAGATTCGAAGCCAACATCTCACGAATACAAATCTAGAGTCATACTGCCACATAAATTTCCCCTTTAATAATTATATGTGGAAAGTCATAATTAGTTATATATAAGAGTATAAGATAGGGTCTAAGCGTCCTTTACTAATTTCCTCAAATATTAAAATAAATGTCTCACACGGGCTAGCGGTTTTAAGCGAGATATCTCTCGCGAAACGCGGAATGGTTTTAAGTACAGTGAAGTCTGGTCTTGTAAATGTAAAGCATTATGGGAAGCAGACCGGAATTCATGTAATTTTAAATTGGTCTCAGTTGAATTTTGTGAGCTGAACCCTTCTGAAGCTCTGATTTTCTCTTGCTTTAAAAGTACGCGCTTCACACAAGAAGTGTCGAGTTTGAAATTTCTTTTGACACAAAACAAACCCGACATCATACGAATATGCCTAACACGTGTTTGACCGAAGCCTGGAAATGACAGTTTGTGCTGAACACGACACAGGGCTTGACGAAAGAGAGTAACTTCAAACAATATATTCCCCTTTTCTGAATCTAGCAGTTGCTCAGCTGGTCAAGAAATTCCCCACGTAGTAAGGAAATCTGGTATCCATTGCCGTGTTCACAAAATCAAATCTCTTGTCCATATCCAAGGCGACATTAAGCCAATCCACAGATGTGCTGACTCAAAATTTCTTCAAGATTTATCTTAATCAGGCCGAAAGATAATTCGGTCATAGGTTTACAGCTTATTGTAACCTGAAAACGAGACGTTCAAAGTTAAATCGTGTTTCATTCATACAACACGTGTAAGTCATCACGTGGGGCCTCTATCGGCGTCCACATGAACTCTTTGCAACTGATTTGGAGAGGAGATTATATACTTTTATGTACACGCAGAAGGGCTTGATCCATATTTGCCCAGGTCTTCGCTTCATTCCTTTCTCCGTTTAGGGACGTATATATGTTTTTTTTTCGTATATTTGCACCACTTCCCCAACACACGGCGAAATCTGTCTTGATTTGATTACCATAAAAGTATTTGGGGATGGATACCAATTTTGAAGTGCAGTATGTATTTTATTCTAGTCTCCTTATACATAGGTGGCCGGGAGCTGTTTCCTCAGTAGTAAAGTTATCGGAGCGTGAAGCTGACCACTCACTGCCAGCTTGTACAGGGGTCAAGAAAATGTGGATATATGCATCCACTCCCCCATACGCCTTCAGGCTTAATTAAGCACAGAGTAAACTTTGCCTTTACCTCCTTATACATAAGTTTCAATTAACTGATTACTCGTATAACGCCGTGAGGTCTGTTGAATGTCTACTGACGTTAAGGAGGAATATGGTGCCTCCATCTTCAGGGTCGAAGAATAAGCCAAATAAGAAATCAGCTTGAAGCAGGTAACAATCAGAGGCAGATGGAGGCGATATCTTCCTCCGAAACGTCCGTTGACTTTCAATGGAGCAAATGGCGTTATATCCAAGATAATATATTACTTACATACTTACTTACTTACTCACTCACTCATGGAGCCGAGCCCTTCTGGAGGAGCCGCCAATTCTGCAGCCTTTCAAGAATTTCCCAGCATTTTATGGAACCTGAAGGTTCATCACCGTGTTCACAAGAGCCCTCCACTGGTCCCTATCCTGGGCCAGATCTATCCAATCCATACTATCCCATCCTATCTCTCTAAGATCCATTCTAATATTGTCCACCCACCTACGCCTTGGTCTTCGCTGTGGTCTCCTTCCTTCTGGCTGTCCCACCAATATCCTATATATAGATAATATATAACTCTTCAAATATTTTTAGTGTTCAACTGTCATGAACGCGTACGCTTTTGCCAGTCTATTTCTGCCGTAAGACAGTAATGTTCAGCGGGGGGGAAAAAATTAATCGAATTTAATATCCTTTATCATGAAAGTCCTGCGTTCTTCTGTACATTTAGGTTTAAGTTGAACAGTCTGGCACCATGCAACCCCCATCCACCTGATCCTATCATCCCCTTGTATCGCCAGTCCAGATAGCTACTCTATGTTGAAACTCAGCAGCATCCAGCACCGCAAACGCTGGAATGAGCTAGTTCCATCTCTCCAAGGTAAAATGTAAGTGTAAGCGGATTACAATAAGCCCCGGAGGGTCGATTCGCCAGTGACGTCGACATATATATATATATATATATATATAGGAAGATCAAATATTTTCTTCTTTTTTGCGTGGGAGACGATTTGACCTCCCTTGTTGACATCAAGACTCGATACATCCTGTCCAATACTTCCCTCACTGCAGACTTATTTATGTATCTCATACCGCTCTCTTGTCATTCCCCTACACGTCCTCCTGACGCACAACTGTGAACATGTTTCCAACGACCTAACCTAACATCCTTCCCAATTTTATGACGTAGAAACTTACATGTTTTCTTTTATTTTCTGCTGCTATCCTATACTTCATATGAAGAATTATTAGTATACAGAGTGTCCCACGAACCCTATAGTATAGCATGAGTGTGGATGGGTGGCAGATTTCACGAAGCTGCCAGTGTCCCTCCAGCTTTGGTTTTGTGCGTGGGGCCAGAAACTCCTCACCTTAAAAAAAAACAACTGATTATGAAATGTTAAGAGGAAATTCGGATTTGGACGGAGCCATCGAAGTAAAGAAGATGGATATGACATTGCCACCTAGAGGCTTGTAGCACTCGAGGAATACGTGCAGGGTTTTGAAGGGGACTCCAGAAGGAAAGACGTCAAAACGTAGGTG